GTGACACGTGTTTTTATGAACCGAAGGGAGAAGGCAGTGTCCTGCCCACTCGGAGCATCCCGCAGCTGCTGGGGGTCTCCTGGCAGTGCTGAGGAGGCTTGGGAGGAATGTGGGGATGGACCTGTGCTTAGGGCTCCGGGGGAGAAGGAAAATAAGAATGGGAGCAATGTTTTCCCACTGTGAGTGGTGAAAGAGAAACCATCCTGCTGCAATAGCTGGGTAAAAGAAAGAGGGGGAAAAGGGAAACAAAAAAACCCACAAACAAAACCCAACAAACGGAAAAACAAACAAACCCCAAACCAAACAACCAAACAAAAACCAGGCAAAACAGAAACTCCCCAAACCACCGAGCAAACCTCGCTGGGATTTCATGGAATGCTCACGCAGTCCAACTCCGGTAAGCAGCCTCAGCAGCCCGGGAGCGTCGCGCTGCCGAGTGCGGCAGCGGCACCGGAACCCTTCCCTACGCCGGGAGAAATTTTATAAACTTCAGCTATTTAAAAAAAAAAAAAAAATCTTTGGGGTCAATTTTCCACTTGGGCCTGTAGCTCTTGAACAAGTACTTTTAAGGTTCCTTCTAACATACAGGATTTATCTGCAGCTCTGTGAAGGGCTTTGACATTTAATCCAGCGCTGAAGTAGTAATTTGTTGCCGGCGCTTCCTACCAGGCTTTTCTTTTAACTTTCCCGGGACCGGGCCCTTTGTGCCGGCTGCTAATCTGCGCCTCACAATGCCGGGGCACCTCGGGCTGCACCTCCGCTGTCCTCCCCGGCCGAGGAAGGGGACGTGGTGAGTGCCTGAGGATGGGAGCTGGTCGGGGGGCCGGGGGGCTGCACCCACCGGCGGCGGGGGAGCCCCGGCACGGCGCGATCCCATCGCTCGGCTGGTCCGGTCCCGGCTTGTTGGGAGCCGGGCTTTCTCCACGTGTGTGCACCGAGCCGTCGGTGCACGGAATTCATAGGAGCTCCCGTGGCTTTTCTGCAAAGCCGCTGATTTTTTTTTTTTTAGTCCACTTGCATAATGTTTTTTTTTTTAAATCAGTTTTAAAGTTCCTCTTAGGCTGGGAATAGTGTGTTTGGTTTGTTTTTTTTCCTGGAGGACACAGTGCTATAGACTGTCCACATATATTCTACCAGTTTTTAGAGAGAGGAAAAAATCAGGGTAGAGGAAAAGAACCTTGTACAAGTCTTCATTTTAATCGAAGTGTGCATAGTTTTTAGAATAATTTTTAGAGTGAGAGTTTTTGCCTTGCAGATATAAAAATAGTATTTTTTGATCCCAGGTGATGAATGAATATTTTATTCCAGATACAAAACCATCTTGGGGTTATGTTTGGACGTAGTAGAAGCATGTGAAATAGTGCCCGACAAATATGAAATAGTCTCTCATAAATAAAGATACTAAAGCCACAATATTAAAAATGGGAGCAGCTCTGCCCGCCTCCCTTTTATCACAACATTTCCAAACTCGACTGATATTACAGGAGGCCTTTTGGCGATGGCTCAGGCAAGAAATGTTGCTGTATTTACATGAATTATGTCTGCACATTGTACTTTGTCTGGGGGCAAATGGGTCTCTTTTCTGCATTGGGTAAATGTTAATGTCCAGCAGCAACTTCTGCTTCTCTTAAGGCGCTGCTAAAAAACCTGCTTTTGGGAGCTCTGTGCCCCCAGATCTGAGCAGGGACAGCCCCCCTTTCCCTGGCAGCCGCCACGGCACGGGCATTCCTGACTTACAGCCCGAACCAGACGGCTCCAAACGGACGAGCCGCAGCCCAGGAATCCTTGTGAGCCGTAAAGAGGGGAACCCGCAGGTACAGCAGCACGTGGGGAGCTTTATGGGCATGATTTAGTGAATATGAGAACATATTTTGTGCTCCATTGTTTAGACTCAAGAAGGCATAAAATCTTTAACATCTATTTATCATGTAGCTATTTTAATGTAAACATTTGTCTATTTGGATGAAGTGTTTTCATTATTAAGCTAATTTCCACATGTTTCAGATAGACTGATGAGTTGGAAGCAGAGCACTTGCTGATGAGAAACGAAATTCGGCCGCGGCTCAGCCTGCTGTCAGATACATCTTCATTAGTTTTTGTCATTCACTGATGGCAAATGCTCTATAAATGAGATGACGATCAGGTCCGCCTTGATAACTTGCCTTATCTCATTAGTTTTCACATCAAAGTTAATCAGCAATGTGAATTGTAATTGCTGGAAGAGACAATGCAATAGATCACTCGGCCTTTTTTTTCTGCGTGGCATCTTGAAACATCAGCAGGCTGGTGTGAGTAGATAGGCTCCGAAGGAAAATGATGTGGAAAGCATAATAAGCAAGCTGCTCGGAATTAATGAGCTTACCCAATAAGAAAAGAATAACCAATCAATGTGAGCTGGGCAAATATAATTTAGGAATAATTGCTTGATTGGTTGTCTATAGTAGGCTGATTTGACCACACACAAGGATTAAGAATTAAGATGTCAAGGCAAAAAATAATTTGGCAACTGAGGGCATGTAATTTTTTGTTCCCCTCCCTTTATGACTGAAAGCGATGGCTGTTTGATATGTTATTCCCCGGGAATGAAAACATTAGACGGGCGCGCGCTGGTGGGTGGGGTTTTTTCCCTCTCCTTTATGCTCCTTTTATCATACAAGGTCTTTCAAACCTCCGTGGGGATATTGCAGTACGGGACATTAAAAAAGGAATGGGGAGGGGGGGAATAAAACTAAAAAGAAAAAAACCCAACCCCAGCCGTGCTGGTTGGTGAGCTCTGCGTGGCGAGGAGCTGTGGGCTGGCAGGGGCTGTGCACGCCGCGCTGTGCCGGGTGTTTGCAGAGCCCGGCCGTGCCCAGCTCCAAATCCGAAACGCAATTCCTGCGCTACGCACGCTTTCCATAGAATTTTCCCCACAGCCACTGGCCAATTAGTAAAGAACCCTTATATTCTTCTATCTAAACTATAGGGAAGGTTCAGCCAGAAGGTAAATTTGCTTTGATCTACATTACACCTAATTGAGTCACCACCAATGTCTCTATCCCAACATCAAGAAATGTGAAAATGTTAGATTATTTCACTGGGGATTAAACCTAATTTTCGCGTGTTCTGCATTAACCTATTAGGCTGACTCATCTGCATTGCTAATGCGGCTCAGGCAGCTGTCACTGCTAAAGAAAAACATGATCATGCAATCCTTGAATGAATGATTCCAGCTCTGATTAGTGTTAGTGAAGTTAGCTGAGCCCTGGTGATAAGGCAGGAAAATTCCCAGGTTGCCAATAGCTTTGAAAATTATCAGACTCTGGGCAAAATGTAGCTGGCGGCGCGCGGGGCCTCCCTCGGAAGGCGGCATTATTTAAGGCTGTCTCTTCGGGTGCTCGCAGGAACGTGGCTGCTGCTTCCGAAGGGCTGGTGGCCAGGGTACGATTTAATGCTAATGGGACGCGACCTGAGCGCGCCCGCCACGGGACAGCCGGAGGTTCTTCCCTGCCCGTTCAGACGGAGCGGCGGGCCAGCCGGAGCAGCTGCCGGCCGGGGAGAAGGGGCTCTGCAGGGGCCAGCGGTGGACCACGGCCCCACGGCTTGGGCTCCACTCTTTTGTTCCAACCGCCGTCAGCTCCAAGCCATTCCCTGCTTTCTTTCTATCTGTCAAATTTAAATAGGGGGGAAAAAAAAAAAAAAGAAGCAACAATGACCCATCCCCTTGAGATGGGAAAAATTTAGGAGTGAGTTATCCCCGAGCAATAGAGCCAGGAGCCAATTTAATCCGATTAGTGCCTGCCGACAATGGATGCTCCTCGCCCATTGTGGACAGAAGCTTTCACTTTATTTGTTTCTATTAGCCAAGAATCCCAGATATCAGAAAAGTGGAATTTTGCCCCGACAATCAACGAAAAAACAAATCGAGAAAAATAGTCTTAAGTGTCAATATTGATCTTTTGGCCTTGACTCTGTGTGGAGAGGACTTGTTGAGTGCCCAAAGTTTGCAGCTCCCGTCCCTGCCTGCTCTTGGTGCTCCCAGTCGTAGGGGGTGGTGGCAGCTCTTCCCGTCGGGATGGTGGGTGCAGAAGGCAGGGGCTGCCGAGGCAGAGCAGGGGGGTTTCACTGGGAAAAGACTCGCAGTTGTCACCCAGACAGCAGCACTGATAGCAAATGTAATGATAGCCTCCTTCCCATCACATTTCATAGGAAGAAACTCCGAGTTTTCATGTACTTGGAATGCATTCTCCTGTATCCCAGCCCAGCATGGCACTGATATCCGTGACTGCCACAGCATCACTGAGCTCCTCTCCCTCCCTGTGTGACTGTGGCATCCCCTGGGTGAGGACAGGCCAGACCTGGGCTCCGTGTGGTGCTGCTGGAGTGACGCCAGGCAGGGAAGGGCAGGATGGAGGTGGAGACCAAGATTTACAGACCTGTCCTGTGCCCAGAGCCCCAGGAATTCCAAGGGGAATAGGAGGAGAAAGACAGAGGGCACCAGCAGCACCCTGTGCCCTGAGGGGCCTCCCTGGCGACTGCCACCATGGGCTGGCAGTGTTGGCCAGGGCAGCTGGACCTGGCCCTGCCCTCGGGCTCGTGTGGTGCAGACCCATCAGCTTTGGGGTTTTGCCCCCAGGTGCCAAATGCTTTGCTGTCTGGAAAAGCACAGAGCTGCTGAGCAGACCTGTGCCCCCGGCAAAGGTGCTCCTCTGCAGTTTGGGAGAGGTGTGTTTTACCATCCCAGGCTCCTCGAGGAGCTGCACACCAGAATCCCATCCTTCTGACCCACATCCTGCCAGGCTGTCGTTGGTTCTGCAGGTCAGGGATGAATTTCCCTGCAGAGCCTGGGAGCAGCTCTCCCTGGGCAGGTGTGTGAGCACCTGTCCTTGTGCTTCCCTGTGCTTCCCTGAGCAACAGCCTGTACGGGGAAAAAGCGTCAGGGGGCATTATTCCCTGGAGCTACCCCAGGAGAGGTACTGTTTTCCTAAAATGAGATTTTTATTTTCTCCCCTCTGTTACAGTGAGTGGCTCCAGGTGTCAACTGAGCAAACTCAGGATCAGCTGCAGCTCTTCCAGAGTGCGTGTCCACGTGCAGAATATTCCGGAACAGGTATTTCACTTTAAATTCATGCCCCGTCTTATTCCAGAATATTTTCCCTGTGTAGAGGAGCACTTGGCTGGGGTCTCTGCTTGCTGCCGTACTAGTGATAAGATGGATTGGCTGATCTAATAGGTCTTTTCAATCTCTGATTTTGAAAGCTAAGATTGGGAAATTAATTTCAGAAAGGTCAAAACAGAGCAAGGCTATCCTGCCGCTGTGTGATGGATCCTATTTTTTTTTAAATCTGCCTATTGAAGGAAAGGTTAGTTATTCAGCATCCTGCAAAAGAAAGAAATAAATAAAGCGAGCCGAGGAACACAAAAGTGTATAGATCTGCTGACCCATCCGCAATCTTCAGTTAATGAAAACGCCGGGAGCGGGAGCGCTGAGAGCCTGCCGAGCTGGGGGGCACCGACCCCGCGGGGATGCTCCCCCCATTCCCGCCCGGCATTCCCGCCCGGCACGCCGCGCGTGTCCGGCGCTGCCCAGGGGGCTCCGGAGCGGCACCCGCGGTGGCCCGAGCGTGGGAGGTCTGCTCTGCTCCCACCCCGGCCCGTGGGGGGGTCAAGGGCAGTTTGTGGAAGCGCCGAGTAAATCCCGGTGGTGTTAAGGAAAAGTCCAGCCCGAGGCACTGAGGGGGAGGAGAGGGGCGGCAGCGTCCCTCCAGGATGGTCATGGGGAGGTCTGGGGAGTCGTGCCGTGGGCTGGGGGAAAGCTGGTCGTGGTTTGCTGGGGAAAGAAACAGAAAACTCGGAGGAAAAGGGGGCAAATAATGAAAACAAAGGCTTCATGTAGGTATTTCCCTGCTTTTCATTTCTTCTGTTCCAATGCACAAGCCCAACAGTAAAATGGAAGGTAAATTGCTCCAGTCATTTTAAAAAACAGGGAATCAGGGAGAGCAAAGGGGGGAATCACTTCTTAATTAAAAAGAAAATAGATTTCTTTTGTTTGTTTACTTTTTTTTTGCCTCTCCACCTGGTATATTCAGTAACCTGCCGAGCTGCCCTTCCTCTTTTCCCTTCTCTTATTACAGATCAATATGTTGAATTTTGGGAAGTGGGGAGAAATCAATTGGTTTAGGCAGCACTGATTAAACCCCTGCCCTGCCCTGACAGTGCTGGGGATATTGTGCCATTCCTGGAGTCTGACACAGGGGGAGAGTCCTGGACTAAACCAGGAGGCTGCTGTGCCTGGGATTGCTGTGCAGCCCCACATCCCAGTGGGATACTGTTGGGAAAAGCCAGGGGCTGTTGCAGGGAGGGTTGGTGTGTGGGACAGGCCAAGTGAACTGCAGCCAGTCCAGAACTCATGGAGCACCTTTCCTTGTTCTGTTAAGGACAGAATTCCTCGTGAGCACTAACTTGGGTCTCCAAGGAATTCTGCTGAATGCTCTGGAGGTAGGATCCTGACTGGAACACCTAGCCACAGCAATGTTAATTAACACACTCATCTTGGATTTAATTCACCCTTGAACCTGTATGAGTCAATCTCACTTTACAGTTCCCTCTTTACGGAGAAATACTGAGCCTGTATGGATCTGGGGCTGTTTCGTGTGGAAGTGTGCTTCCCAGCCATTCCTGAAGCTCTCCACTTCTTGCTTCTCCTGTTGCTTTCTGCAGTCAGTTATACAAAACCAAAACAGGAAAAATGGGCAAAACAAATATCTCCAGTTGAGGATTATGCTCACAAGTTCAGTAATAAATAGCAATTATTAGTCAATATATACAAACAGCTGAATTATTTTAACACATCAGACCACAGTGGAGATAAAGGATAACTTGGGAAATGGATTGTTGCATTTATCATTCTGAACAGAAGATGCCAAGGAAAACGCTGGAGCACAGAAACACATCTGGCTCGTTGGCAGGGTTATCTTTTCCCAGTAAAGATCCCGAGCAGGTTTGACTGGACACCAGAGCACCCCATAAATCAGATTGAGCTCCCCACAGCAAGGGCTGGGGAAGCTGCCAGGTGTCACTCAACCTGTCCTTTCTGAGGTTTCCCTCGCTGCTAATTCCAGAAAGATTGGAGCAATTCAAAGGTAAAGAGGTTTCCATACTCGCAAATATGTCCTGCTCCCCAAAGCTGATGCTGGAATTAGGCATGGATTAATCTCCTAGCATCCAGTGGAAAAAATAGGAACTTAAATCTCTGTGAGTAGAAACACAGATATTTTTAGGGTGAATGTTGGCTTAGCGGGAGGAATCCGTGCAGTGGGGGTATGGGGGGCCCGTGGGCGCCGTGTCACACACGTGGTGTGACGTGACGTGGGTCCTGGAGTGACCCGGGAGCTGCTGCTGGATCGGGAGCTGCTCCGGCTGCCGGGGGAGGGCCGTGCGTGGGGCCGGGGGGCCCCCGGGGCCGGGGTTTGTTGTCAGTGTGTACACACGGAGCTGCAGCTCAGCAGGCTCTGGGAAAGGCTTTTGTAGGGACGTGTGTGTGGTCCCTCGACACGGAAAAGGCAGTGAAGAGCCACCGGCTCCGGGAGCACCTCCCCATCCCGCAGGGTCCTGCCGTGCAGCGGCTTTCCCGCGGGATGCTGTTACCCCCGGGAGCTGTGGCTTCCCCTCCAAAGCAGGAACTCAGAGGAGGTGCTGCAGGTGGGGGGCAGGAGGCTTTTTTCACAAGAATCAGAGATTCTGGCTCTTTACTGGCACGTAGGTGGGGCTCATTTCTCCCTTGCTACAGAGACGGGGACAGGGCTGCCACAAAGCAGGATTTTCCCAGTGTTTTCTGTGCTTTTGCCTTTTTTTCAAGCCCTTATATGGTACAGAAGCTGAGCGGCATTCGTGTGTCTTGGGATTCCTTCCCGTAACTTCCAGGGAGTTTTTCCCAGGTCCTCACTTTCCTCCCCTATGAAAGTGCACCTTTACCTGCGAGAGGATCCAGGTGTGCCAGACTCAGGCTTAGGGTGACAAAGGCATTTAGGGCTTTGTAGTCCTCTGGTTATTTTTATTCACGTGTTGTGGATTTTTTTCAAATTCAACCCCCGCTTAACCACAGCATGTCTATAGCAGTTTGAACGTTTTATTATTATTAATGTAATAACTTCACATCAAGTGTGCACTTGCAGCAGATTGGCATGGGAAAACACAGTAATTCTTGGTGAGGGTGCACGAGTGAGATGCCACAAAGGGGGGAACTCTGTCAGAGGGTGAGCGGCGTGTGGGGCACGAGGCCCCTGAGCACTGTCCCTGCCCCAGCACGTGCTGCTCCTCAGGTGCAGCCCTGAGTGACTGTGCCAGCTCCATCGCAGGCCCACACCACCCTCCCAGCTTTCCTGGATGCTTTGCCCTGGCCGAGGGTCCCAGCCTGGCACTGCTGTGTAAGCTGTGGGTCCTCAACCTCCACAGATCCCGGGAACACCGGGGGAATAGCTCTAAACCCCATTTAAATAGGGAGTGGGAGGGAGGGAGAGGGGAACATTTATTACCATCTAATCCTGCTCAGATTTTCTACACCATATGTCTGAGCAGCAGAACATGTGAAATGTGTACTAATTACTCTGCCTGTGTCATGTGTGTATATTTTATATGCAGTCCCTGACCTTTTTGTTAATAACTTCACATTATATTCATTGACCTGAAACAAATTGAATTCAGTGGCACTCACTCTAGAATTGAATTACATAGTCTTCTTAATTGGTCTCTTATTTAAATGTGGAAAAGTAACAGTTTACCACCTGTAATTATTTTTTTGCTTAAGAAATTCCTGCAGAGAGTGTGCATGTGCGTGTCCGTGTTGGGCTCGTGTACGGGGGGAATTATCACAGAAACCCCAAGCCCATCTTGCACTGTGGGGTGGAAAAAACCCCAGAAGTTTTGTTCTTCTGAAGCAAAACCACTTGTAAAAGTGTGTGAAAGCCCCAGAACAATCTCTCCTCCTCGGTGGGAAGGGCAGTCCCGGGTGAGCATCTCTGTTCAGCCCCCACGAGCCGGCTGTTCCCCCCCTTTGCCAGGTCCCATCCCAGCTTCTCCATCCAGTCCCAAGCATGGAGAGCTGAGGTGGGAGTGCAGGTGCTGCTCTGGGAGTGCCGACCCAGCGAGGGCGTCTCCCGCCGCCGTGCAGGAGAGCGGAGAGCGCGGGGCTGGAACCTCCGCTTCGCTCTTATCCTTCCAAGGCCCAGTTAATTGCCGGAGCCGCGAGGAGGAGACTTACTCTTTACTTACTATATTTAACTTAAAAATGCAAATGTTATTAGTGTCCCGATCAGTGATAAGAGTGCCTTTGTGCCAGGCTTTAACCTCCATTAGGGGGGATTAGGAGAACGTATCCACATTGGCATTTTCCAAGTGTCACTGTGACAGCACTTGCTGCACAAATGCCTGGCTGTCACACTGAGGTTTATCACCAGGTTTTTTCCTGCGAATGCAGACTAATAAGCCCAGAAATTACAATTGCCTCCCTGCCGAATCTGTGATAGGCGGAAATAATGATATCAGTGCCCTGCTAATCTCCTGCCTCCGCGCTTGGCACCAGCCTATTGAGTCACCTGTCATACGCCGCTTTGATGAGGCGAATTCAATCTCTCAGCTATAATGACAATGGAGCCATTTTAATGTTTGGAAATGATTATGTGAAGGTTTCTCTTTGCTCTGTCTTGGCAAGCAAACCAGGTCAGCGTTCCGGCTGTGTCTCCTGCCGCCGCTAACGACTTGGAAGGAGCCGGGCTGTATTAAGTGAATATGCCAAGTTATTAGAAAGGAGACACTGAAGGCAGATGGAGGGGGGGTGAGATTCTTTTTATTTCCTTTTCCACAGCAAAGCACGAGCCTGAGAAGATGCTTCATACACGTGAGCATCTCGCACACGCCCACGGTGCCCGCCGGGATGTGAGGGCTCTGTGTGCCGGCCACCGCAGCCACCTGCCCCCAGATCCACTTGGGAATCGCTGGGTCTGCACAACAGGCTGCAGGGAGCTCACTGAGCAAACCAAGAGCCCAAAACTGTTCCAAGGCAGGGCCAGTCCTTCCAGCCTGCTCGAGTGTTGGGAAGGGGCTGGTGGGGAG